CATAGTAGATCCTGGAATATTTGGAATCACAATCGTTGTTTCTTGGGGCAAATAATTACTACTGATTGTCTGATCGAGCATAATCATATATATACTTCTAGAAGTCGGTGTTTCAATTATTTATTCATGGATGACATTTATTTGCAGTACTGGTATAAAATATTGTTTCATCTTTTAAGTTGGTTATAAGTTAAATGTATGTCATAATCTGTCAGAAATAAATGAACAAAATTCTACCAAGTACATTACCTACCCCACTATTTTTTTGTTGTTGTTTTTGAGACAGAGTTTCTCTGTGTAACAGCCTTGGCTGTCCTGGAACTCACTTGTAGACCAGTATGGCCTTGAACTCACAGAGATTCCCCTGCCTCCGCTTCCTAAGTGCTATGATAAAAGGCCTGTGCTACCGCCGTCCCACTTATTAGCTTAGCATTTGCATATCATTGTTAAATGTGGGAAATACTATCTGCTGATGCTGCTACATTCTAATTCTACAAATGCAAATCTAAAGACTAGGAAGAATGGGTTCAATCCTGCTTTTTCACTTGACTAAAATCTAACATGAACGACTAAGCCAAATACATGGGTGGAGACATTTTCTAATAAGCATTGATCATCTCCTATCGAAACAACAAAAACAACCACCAGAGAATAACCCCTGCATGCAACTCAACATTAATACAATCAACAGGATGACTGCACACACACACACACACACACACACACACACACACACACACACATACACACACACACACGTTATATTTTATGCCAGCATCTGAAACTTTGCATTATACCACCTGACATTTACCTGTTGTGGAAATTTGATTAAAGAATACAAATGTCTGCACAGATGTCTTAATTACAAATGACACCATACAGTTTTCTAGTATTAAAGTATAAAGTGTATGTATATACATGTACACATACATATAGGTAAACAATTCTAAGTTATAAAACACATTTTTGCAATTTTACTTATTGAATTTTATAGATTTTGTAGAATTAAATAGTATTTCATTAAAAAAGAAATAAGCCTCAGTGCAATATTTTTTCCAGAAGATACTCTCCAGTAAAATATATGTCCAACATTTATATAACCAGAGGAATAGTTTGTTAAACATAATTTTCTGATGTACAAACATATATCATGTGGAATTTCAGCATTTAAAGAGGACTTTGGTGACAACAGGACAATAAAAATCACATCTGTAGCAATTTATAAGGTCTAGTTTTCTAGTGGTGGTTTTAAGAGAGTATAAGCCATATGCATTTGTTAGTTTTGTAGCTCCTTTATTGTTATTAGCTTAACCTAGAGTGGGAGAAAACATCAATAAACAGCATAGTGAAAATGGGTCGTTCCCATAAGCCTAAACAAGAGTCAGCACATTGTGGACACTCACAGCTAGAGGAAGCTGTAAGTACAGCTTGTTATCAACACTTCCCTGGCTCAGTTTACAAAGAAAAGACTCACATTTTCATCTGTTTGTTTGGTTGGCTTTTCTAAAACTAAGAGATTTGAAAACACAGTTCATTTTAGTTTCCCAAATAAGAACATTGAAAGTAGCTAAAACACTTAAGGCCCTTACTATATATGCTCATGGTCAGTACCGCTCAGCAATAAATCAAAACCAGCTGCATTTTAGGTAATAAACCAAGAAAGATATGGCAGTTTATGCAGAGACTGGGGATAGTGAGCGCTCAGCCCTATGAGAAGACACCCATATCACCTCCCCTCAAAGTTCAAGGAACATCATGGAAGAGGAGGCAGAAAGGATGTAAGAGCTGGAGGATGGGGAAGAGGGGAAGAGGGCTGTGAAGTGCTGTCTTCTAGATGCCATCTATGCTCACCACTCTAACACCAGTGCTGCAAGTGTTACCTTCTGGACATGACATAGATGTTGCACTCACAGATAAAAGCAACTGTGGTTGCCTGTCCACGATCAAAAACTACAAAAACTCCAGCATGGATGAGGAAAAGGCTCATGAGGTCCCACCTGTAACTGAGGAGCTATTGGCAGTTGGCAGTGACTGGGGGAGAGAATTATTCTTTTTCTGGGGGCAGGGATATGGTCATTAGTAGGCTCCCTATGCTCCGGTGGACGGCTCCACTCCAAAGTGCATATAAGAAGCACTACTTAGCCTTGGTAGAGTTATAAGAAGGAAAAGAAGGGAGCGAGAAGAAAAGGAAGAAGGAAGAAGGAAGGAAGGAAAGAAAGAAAGAAGGAAAAAAGGAAGGAAGGGAGAGGGATGAAGTTGAGAGGGAAACGTTTTATGAAGGTAGTAGGGTGGATATTAACAGAATATGTTATATATATGAAATTCATCAAGAATATACAAATAGTGTTTAATATGTGCCTTACTGAGCATGTTATTTTGTTATCATTCCATCGGGCACAACAATTATATACATAGCATTTTCAATATATTAAGTATTATAAAATAATTCAAAGTCAATTAAAATACTCATGAAGATGTGCATAGGACACACAGCATTCCTACAAGGGAATTGAGTATCTGTAGATTTGACATGTTCAGACGAGTCTTCAAACCAATCCCCTAGGGATAGCAAGGGATAAACAGACGCATACCTCATAACTCAAAAGTGCTCTGGACTAAGTAAGAACAGTGCATTTGTAAACTAGACTTTTGTTGGAACCTCTTGGTCATTCTAGTGAGTGAATCAAGCTGAAGTCTTATTTTCTACCTATGACAAAATAGCAGATTTCTAAACATAGATTCCATTGCCTGTAAACATAACATCTGGAAATCAACACAGAACATGCTATTCTTCAGAGTCAATATTATTTTTTACCATAACCATGTGTTCTTGGTAGATACGCAATTTACTATAACTTCCTGAATTATTTAGTGCACAATCAGTGCATTGTGTCACTCAGTATCATCAAATTTTAAACACCGGAAAGGAGAAACTGTGATAGTTTAAGAAGAAAGGAGTTTTTAAAGTAATTATATATACTTATTATTCCACAAGGAATTGATATTAAAATGTAGCTGGTTGATTTTGTTCAAAACAATGCATTGTAAGCAACCCAAGAATCCTGTGCATTTGTGACACAAAATTGAAGAGTTTTCACAGACTTTTCTTTCTTTATCTCATAGCCAAATTCAACCAACTCATCCTGTGGAAAAATATACATTTTATGGATCATTCACAGACATAATTCATATATATTTATCAGCTTGCAATACTGAAAAGAATCATTTAAAGTCTAATAAGTAGTAATCAAAGGAGAACCTTCTAGGCATGATGATGATTATGTAAATATTAAATTTGGCTATAAACCATCAGGAATGTGGTTCTCATGAAAACACTGTCTTTTCTCTTTCTTCCATATTTCTTTCTACATATTTAAAATAGTCTCCATAATTGTTCCCACCTTATCGTAGAAGGGGTTGCTTGACTGCAACACTCAATAAACATGAGGAAGTGGGAGGAAAAAATCTAAGGAGCAAAATATACTGAAAGTGTGTTCTTTTTAATTGTTTGAATAGCATATATTAATTATACACAACAATGGATTCCATTATGGCATTGTGATGCATGTGTATAATGTATTTTGTTTGTATTCCGTCTGTGGGAATCTGTTCATCACCATGAAATACCACCTATGTTCAGAGGAAAAAGAAGTTATAGGAGTATTGGTGACTAAATTATAGAAAGCATATTATGCCTTGCCTAGTTTCACTGATCTCTAAAGATAAAATCCTATCAATTAACCAAAAAGTACACAGAAATAAGATGTAAAGACATGGCCTGACAATAACTATTATTCTAAAGCAAAACTAGTCAAGGAATTTCTAAAAGACCCATTGAATATTGTTATAATTTTAATGGATTTGTTTTCCTCAATTGCATGGTTATTATATGACTATCATTTCTTTCTCTCTCACTTCACTGAGGGAAAGTAATTATCATGTAGCTTACAACATGTGTAATTTGTCCTGTAATTATAGAAGACACTCATTGTCTCTATAAATACTTATAGGAGAGGCAAATAACTGGTCACTGCCAAGAAAGCTAGACACAAACCACACTGACTGATTTGAGAGCACACTTTCCACCTGCCGAAACTGTAGGATTGTACAGGAAATTTTGCTTACCTATTTTTCAAAGACCACAAGATTTCTTAGAATAAAACACTGCTTAAAGGTATAAAATGCAGAGTTCAGTTTTGGAAGAGGATATTGTGATGGCACTTAGGTTACAGGGATGACATCCATCCTTGGTCCTCCAGGACCCAGTCTACCAGTATCCACCCTCCTGTGAACCCCAGGGTACCCATGCCCATGGGCAACATCCACCTGACTGGCTTTGCTTGCTTCACTAGCTCAGGGTTGAAGGGAGTACTTCTTACCAAGGTTCTCACTTGGGATTGAGTGCTTTGGAAAGATGTTTTCAGTCTGAAGCTTTCTCCACACTTTTCTCTGTAACCTTGTAGTACTGACAAAAGTGTCTGCTGCAAGGTGACCCAAGGCATTTAAAGTCTTGTGAGAGATTTTCTTGTACATCACTCATATGTTTAATCTACCCCTGCATTAAACCATTTGGAATAACTCTGATTTTAGTGTGTGCTATCTTTTCTGTAACAGTTAGCTCTTTTTTTTCCTTTTTAAATTTTTCTTAATTTCCCTCCAGGTAAAATTCCACTAATAAACCAGTGTCCATGCTAACAAAACTTTTAGTCAGAGACATAGTCACTGCAGACCAATGACACCATAACATAAAAATATAATGCCCAATACATCTTTGCATCTTTTATATGTAAATAGAATAAATTTAACTAAAAATGCCTGACCATTAAGTAAATTTAGAACAATTTCTGTCAATCACCAATATATAAAGGCTACTCTAATTGAGGCAAAATTTTAGTGTCACAACAAAATTATTATGTATGTTGTATAGAACATACAAAAACTAAATGAAACATTAAACTATATCAGGAGCACAATTCATCTTTATAAACATGAAGAATTACCTTTTCACCAGTTTCCCCTTTGATGCCTTCAAGTCCTTGTTCTCCCTGTAAAAGAGAAGTGTGGTGTAATAAGAATACTTCTTATAGTTCATACAATTTTTGAAATAATAGCTATATTTCTGAGAATATAAAAGATCAGTGACTTCAGTAACTCCCTGTGATATGAAGTTCTAAGCCAATACTAACAACGCAAAGTCTGAAAAGTACAAAATTACTCAAATAAAAGTTTTTTAGATATGACCTTCCCTACCTTCTGGAAAAATCTAATCTCCATAAGGCCAAGCACCCTGCGTATTAAGTGTCTGAGAATGGTACCATCTAGATTTGCTTTGAGAGTTGAATGAAGCAGCACAGGCTGCATTTGCCATTCTTGCTGTCACTAGAATTGAATGAAGCAGAAGAGACCAAGTTTGCCATTCTTGTTGTCACTAGCCTCTCATTAACCCCAGAAGACACAGACTTCTGTGAAACCTTCCTTCCACATGAGTGTCTAATGAGAGGTTCATGATGAGTGGGTTTAGTATTGAACTTTGGAGTCCTGAGCCTACACCCACCCCCACATGCCTGCAGCCCCAGGTTCCTCTCTGGTCTATTCATGTGACTCACAGTCACAAAAAAAGAGCTGTTCTCTATGCTGTCCTTTAAAACTACAAAGTGCACGTGTTTCTTTTCCTCATGAACCCTTTCCAATTTCATAAGTTTATTTTCTGATTTAATTTGCTGTAACTATATTGATGATATTACCATCAAACATTTAGTAAACACTCACTGAGCGACTCCTACATGTCAGGGACCTATGTTTACGTAGCTAGGAGGTGAGTATTAGAGATGGGTTTTATCTGCCATCCACTCACTGAGGGTCAAGGCACATGGCATTCAGCCAGTATCTTCCTTTTTGTTCTATCTATCTATCTATCTGTCTTTCTGTCTGTCTATCATCTAAGTTTCATTTTACATTCCAACCCGTTATACCGCCCATCCCTCAATTGCCTCAATTGTATGATAAAATTAAAATTCACATGCATTATATAGATTACAATGTGAGCTCCTATCTTGTATATAGATAATTTATGAGTATATTATACACGGTCAAACAAATGCATATAATGTGTAGAAACATGGTTAGATAACTATTTTCTGCTTCCTTTATTCTAGAACCCATATTAGCAAACAATAGATTAGTTCACAGGTATTTTTTTTATCACTAATGCATGGTCCTACCTTTCTTTTAATAGTCTTTCCCCTTAAATATAGAATTTAACTCCATCTGGTAATTCAAGCTGACACTGAAGCTGCTGAACATCCCTAGCACACTGGCCACGATGTCAGCATGATGCAGCCACCACAAACAGCTGCTGGAAAGTCCAAAACTATTTCCCAGCAGATAAATCTGCATATCCCTTGGCTTGAAACTCAACTCACAGATGCAGCACATGCTGTACTAGTGGGTTTTGTCTAGAACTGCCGTGAAGGGGCGCGGAAGCATGCGGTTTCATGGTTCCCAGTCCAATCTTACTATCTCTATGGGGCTAGGTAAAGAAACAGTTTTACAGCTGTAACTATAAATGAAAGTATATCTTTTCAAATGACATTTCCAGCTTTGGGGAAAAAACCTAGATGCATAGCAACTTCTGACATTTTGTTATTAAGACCTGTACTGCTTCGCCACAGCATAGAAATGACATGTTTGGCTTTGGGGGACGTCTAAAATTGCATCAGTAATGCTCTCCCCTGTGGAGGGATTGTCTGGGCTGTATCATGACAGCTGGCCCCACCTGAAGTGACTCCTCTTTTCTCCAGCAACCTGGAGTATATTAGTTTCTGGGCATCGAGGGATGCTTGGCACATAGAGTTGAGCTTGTTCCCAGAGAGAAAAAGCAGTCCTTGGATAGATAGTAAAGGATCCAAAGGAAATGCATTTTGGTGAAGAGAAAGATGCCAGGCATAGTAAAATGTACCATGGATGGTGAAAAACTTTTCATTATGGGTATAAATGTACCATTCTGAAGGGTTATTTAATTATTATAACTTAGAAGGGATTGAATTCATAGCCTCATACAGGATAAGCAAACACTGTGCACTAAATTGTCTCTACAGCCCACTTTTTACTTTTCATTTTGAGACATGATCTCACTAAGTTGTCAAAGCTAGCCTTGGACTCACTCTATAGGCTGGCAGTCTGCAATATTCCTGCTTCAGCCTCCTGAGTAGCTAGGATTATTGGTCTGCACTGCCAGGCAAAAGCAAAAAGATGTGCTTTGAAGAGTTCAGTACTATTAAATATTTCATGTCATTGTGAACATTAAGCAAAATGTTCTGCTTAATCTGAGAAGCACAACAACAAGCGAATAGGAACTAGCAGCAGAGAACACTGTTCCTTTGTTCACACTGATTGATAACAGAAAAATGTTTCTGGTGCAGCCTTAACACCTCCATGGCCCAGGAAGGGCATCACTCCTGATTCTTCAGGAAGGCATACTGTTAACACCCTGGAACAAATATTTCCTATAGAGATCTCTGAGAAGTAAATGCTTCTATGAGTTCTCCTTGGAAAGAATGATTTAGTAGTTTAGTTTGTATGAAATATTTATAAAAACCCATTACCTTTTGACCAGGTAAGCCTGGAATACCATGCAAGCCATTTTCACCCTAAAAAGAGTAACCAAAATAAATTTTATTAGCCACAAATGATACTGAAAAAGACCCCCCTTCACATGCACCTGTTTTTTGTTGGTTGGTTGGTTGGGTTTTAGAAAAGGGGGTTTCTCTGTAGTCCTGGCTGTCCTTTGTAGACCAATATGGCCTTAAACTCATAGAGATCTGCCTAACTCTACCTCGTAAATGTTGGGAAAGCTTCAGTGTTCTGAGGAAAGTTAACATTTTTTTCTGGATATCTGTTACTTGTAGGGTCTTCCAACTTTCTGTTATCACAACTCCAGGAACATCACCTCAAATTTTAAAGTAAAGGAATGGGAGCTCTGAGATGTTAAGTACTAGTCTCACAGACTCAGGGTTATCCTATAGTGTCACCTAAGATGTTTAGGGAGTGCCCAATGATTCCACAGCCTGCATATTCCATGTCTTCCTTTCTTTCCTTCCTCCTTTCTTTCTTTCTTTCTTTCTTTCTTTCTTTCTTTCTTTCTTTCTTTCCTCCCTACCTCCCTTCCTCCTTTCTTTCCCCATCCTTTCTTTTCTTTGCTTTAAGACCTCTGGGCATATTAATAAAATTTTTATGGGGTAGACATTGCTTCCTGAACAAACTTATCAGAGAGTTACTATTCTCATAATCATCTTATATAAATGGGTACACAGTGACCAGGCTTCAAACTCTCTTGCCCTTCAGCTGTGGCCGATGTCATGCGTCCCTACGTGATCTCTGGCAACCAGTTTAAATTGTGTATTATAAGTGTCTTCTTTCCTAATATGAGATATCACATACGCACACACGCATATTCTTCTCAGATTGTGGACATGCTCATTTCCCTATTCCTATCTGCTGACTGCTATGGGGTCAGTTCTGAAGTTGTACCAAAGGCAATTCTACATGAAAAAGTTCTCCCTTCCCGCATGACTCCTGTCATGGGCATGAACATTTTCAGCAGATGCCTATCAGGGTCCATTTCTGGAATTCTTGGTCATTATATTGACGAGTCTGCTCTGTGAAGAGCACACCGGTTAGAAGAAGATATTTCATGGGGTGGTGGAGGGGGGGTGCACATTCTTAGTAAACCCTCGGGCATTTACTTCAGTCTAGGAATTTACCATGGCTCCCAACTGTCCAGACTCAGGCAGCTCAAAATAAGCTATCAGTGCTATGCTCTGCTTTATTTCTGTGAAACATTCATAAAATTCACTTGATAACAGTTTTTAAGCTCTACCAAAAATGCAGGTATCATCTCTAAGAATTAATTGAAAGAAGTTAAATATATTAAGAAGAACAACTACCATATCTTCGAATTTTAAAATCAAAATGAGATACTGTACTTAAATGTTGAGATCTTAATTTTATCACCAATACATTTTTGAAAAGTTTTACTGTTTCTTTTTCTATTTTTAAAACCAGAAGTATACTGCCATATACAAGCACACACTATATTTTAACAACTAAATTATTTTAGACTAAATTATCAAAGTATTCTATAGTGTAGCTGCTATTGTCATAATAAGGGCAAAACTTGGCTGTGATATGTAATCACATGCGGTAGCATCAAAATAGTGTAATTATCAATACACTAAGCACTTATACCACTTAAAAGTTATTAGAGTTCTTCACCCGAGGCATCAGGCAAGACTAGCAGAAAGCTGCAGCAACATCTGGTAAGGAATTAAGGGAAATGGCATTAAGTATCTGACGCCAAGGAACATTGTATGGAAATGGAGCTTCTTTTGCTCATCACTAAAGTATGTCCACTTGTCCCTAAGAAACAGATTATCTTCCTCGGTTGATCCAGCATAGTATTTTATTTCATGTTGCAAGTTACTCAGGATAGCAAAATACAGCATATAATCCACGAAGTACAAAGATACGGTGTTTACCCCGCCAACAGCCCATTTCGGGGAAAAGGGAGTGGTGACAGTTCTTTTTCTCTTCTTTGCTAGCAGCCGACTTTTACATGTCGTGTGCCCAGAGAGTGCTGGCACGGGTGTGTCTTTAATTGATATTTTTTGATTATTGTTGTTAAAATATGGTGTTCCCCTATGGCAAGTGTTAATTGATCTCTACTCTTTCCCTACTTAGAGATTTAAAATCACTTCTAATTGTCTTTAGTCCATAGGAGTGTGGGCATACTGGTTCCCATTTCTATGTCAAGGGGAGAGGTGTATAAGAATCTCCGTAGAAACTTAAAAAGACATAATTCAAGTATGCTAATAGCAAGTGTTGATTCCATAAAACTTTATTTAAAACATTTATGCCAATAGCAGCAATCTTCTTAGTGCTTATTCTGAAACAGAGGAGCAAAACACAGAGTAGTGCAGGCAATCAGGGAAAACTCAATTTTACTTATAAAATCAGTACTTGCCTAACACTACTAGAAGGACACATACCTGTTTTATGTGTGTGCGTGTGTGTGTTTCTGAGTTTCTGCTTCTTTTTTTCTCCCAGTATCATACTAAGAAGGTATAGATGTTTCTCTTTTATCTTTCAATCAAGATTTTACTTCATTATTGGAAAAAATATGATCAGTAGTTTCAAAGAGATCATACTGTTGAAAACTCATTTCTGAGGATATTCTTTCTATTAAAAGCCTTTTAATTCCGGGAACATACTTGATGGGAGTAGAGAACTGACTTTCAAAAGTTGCCCTGTGACCTCCTGTGTGCACCGCTCACACATGAACACACACTGTCCCCAGATTAAATAATACATAAACTGTATTTATAGTCACCAGTCATCATTATAAGCTTCCAGTTAACTTTTTCTATCTGATTCATGTTGTGGAGCACAAATAAAAAAAGACACATCAATGCTTACTGAATTAAAGCTTTCTGAACCTTTAGCCCACTCATCTTATTTCTGTTATCCTAAATTATGGGAGAAAAAATCTAGATCTTATACATGACATCCATTTAGTTTCCATTCAATAAACCATTAGTGACAGTTTGGAGTCTTAATATTATGACACTGCTCTCCGGGTATACCCTGACCAGTCAACACATGTCTTAAATTGTGGCTTTCAAAACTCAACATATTATGTTAGAAATGGTCCTACACAGAACAGAAAGCAAGGCTATAACCTACACACACACACACACACACACACACACACACACACACACGCACGCACGCACACACACACACACACACACACCATGCTGTTTGGGATGCTAAAGTTTTCTTCTATTAGTGTAATTTGCTTCTAAAAATGTATTTGCACATACTGATTTTGTAACCAAGTATAAGCGCTACTAATATTTTCTTTCAAAGGAAAGAATTATATTTCCAATTCTTTTTCAAATTAGTCAAATTTAAGTTATAATGAGCTTTACAAAAAAGCTAAACAATTTAGAAATTATCTCCCTAGTGAAATTAGGGAGACAGAGACTTTTGTAGGATCTTATAAAAATCTGGGGTCCTGTGAAATTGATAATATCTTTTTAAGTGAGCCTGTCAACATCAAAGATTTGGGCTTATTATACTGTCAAATATAGGTTAAAGACAGTCTCAATAAATTTGAAACCGAAAAACCATGGTAGGAGAATCAAGACATTTAACTTGAATCATCTACTGACAGATCTGATGTGTGGTAATTGATACCTACAACGAGCAGTCCACCAAGTGAAAGAAGACTTAAGACATAGAGCACAATGCTATCAGCCAACTCCTCGTTGAGGACAGTTAGATACCAGTCACTGCAAACCATTTCCTGTCCAGAGAAGTCCTCGTGATGAGTAATTTATAGTGTGACTCCATATCAGTTACCTCTTCTAGAGCTTAGCTGTGCTAAAGCCAGCAGTTTTAGCCTTGCAGTAAACGATCATGGAGCCTTGGAGGATGAAAAATTCCTGAAGATAATAAAACAAACAAACAAAAATCTAAGGAGATTTTTCAATTTGAGACTGGGTGGAAAGAAAGCCAGATAATGAAGACTGGCTATGCTTAAGAGAGCAGGGAGGGCAGGTGACGAGGAAACTGGAAGCAAATTCTGTAGCTGTACACACTGTCCCTATTACATTTCATTCTAGGAAGCAGCACTTCTAAGTTTTGCTAGGTAGAGAGTCTTCTTCGCCCTACTTCCCTGTAGTTTGCTTCTGCATAAAAACTTGGGAGTTCTTAACAAAGCATGTTTCTTATTCATCCCTCAATATGAAGAGAGGAAGAGCTCCAGAGACCATGCCTCACCCTTTGCTCTTTAGGGTTCAGTCAGCGCTTGAAGCCACGCCCAAAGGGGTGTGGCCACTGTTACAGATGACAGGCAAGATGCTACTACATAGTTGTCTAGCAGCTGTGTTTTATTTCCCTCCTGTACTTTGGGGCTAAGTTTCCTGGAGTTCTGCATAATTCAGCTAGCACTTATGAAGATTCTGTCAGTGACACCCATCCTCTGATTGTTCAAAAGTAGGTGTCACAGAAATGAGATAGACAATGATTCTTTCGATTCCAGGAGCTCCCAGGGATATAGATGCACAAATACTGGTGATGTAAACAAAATACTGTGTGAGGAGAACGGAGGAACTTCCAGATTTGCCTACTGTACCAAAAGGTTTCATTAAAAAATAATAAAGCTGGATGAACTTTGATTGTGGTAATCTGTAGTGATGTCGATGGTGATAAAAGATCAAAATATCAATTGTCTGAATTCATCTTCAATTTTCAAATTCACCTGACAGCTTTACCTAATATCTTATACTGGTGCAAATGGCCCCGGCTTGGTTGGCTGAAAGATGGTTCTGATGGAGCCACTTCAAAAAAACTGTGCTATCAGAAGTCACAGATGTCTGAAACAATAGCAGTCGCATCTTTAAATCCACTTTTTGTTATTAGTGATCTCCACCAAGAATAATGTAATCAGAAACTAAGCTATGTAAAAAATCAATTGTGATCTTTTGCCAGGTGATATTTTAGCATCTATATACTACGTACCAAGTACATGTTAAACCCAAAAAGGGACACTAGCAGACTGGGTTCCTGAAATCTGGCTAACTGTTTG